TCTCTCTGTCTCTCTGTCTCTGTCTCTCTGTCTCTGCCTCTCTGTCTCTGTCTCTCTGTCTCTGTCTCTCTGTCTCTGTCTCTCTGTCTCTGTCTATCTCTGTCTCTCTCTCCTCCCTGTGTGCATACACACACACACACACAAGGTACACACACATGGATGAGGCGCTACCACGTGGGGCATCTCTGTTTGAGTAGAGCCTTGGAGGAAGCCTGGATTTCCAAAGGGCAGGAGTGAGGAGGGACAGTGTTCTGGACAGGGGCCGGCTAGTCTGACCCCCTCATTCTACAGATGTGGAAACTGAGGCCCAGAGAGGGTCTCCATGGCCCCAGCACAAGGTAGCCTGAGGAAGGGAGCTCACAACCAGGAGGGGGAGGAGTCTAGGGTTCCTGAGCCCAGGCCCCCAAAGGCCCTGAAACGCAGGGGTGTGGAGGGAAGACGAGAGTGCCACATGTGTCAGGTAATGCGCTGAGGTGGAGAGGACTGAGGCCTCCATGTACAGTCAGTCTGGCAAGGCAGCCCGGAGCTTCAAATGCCAGGTGACAGGGCACCTGAAGCTGCATGGGCAGGCATCTCACACTCACACTGGGCCCTCAAGAATACTAATTGGGCCGCTGTGAGGAGGACGGGTCTGAGAGGGAGGGAGCCAGAGGCAGGGAGGCCGTGGGGAGACTGTCGCTGCAGGCCAGGAGAGGTATTGGGCGAGGGTGGAGGCCGTGGGGGGAGGGGAGGGTGGGAGGGGGGTCAAGGAGGACCCAAAAGTTGGGAGCCGGGTGACCGGGAGGAAGGGGGGCCCTGGATGGAAGCAGGGCTGCTGGGAGGGGGATGTGCTGCGTCTGAGGCGCCTCCTGGACGCCCGGGCAGACGAGTCTGTGAGGCAGGGGGCAGGAGAAGTGGGGGAACATCGGGCCCAGGGACATTTCTTGTGGGCGCAGGCAGGCTCTGGCATGTGCCAGGCACCAGAGTTATCTGATGGACCAGGAAGAAGGGCCTGCTCTTTAGATGTGAGTCGTGACCCACGGGAGCTGACGAGCGCCAAGAGAGCTGATTGGGGAGCTGCACCTTGGCGGGCACCTCGGCTCACGCGGAGGAGTGGGCAGCCGGTAAGGGGGGGGCGTTGGGAGACCCTCAGTGTGCCAGCAAGTGTGGGGGCTGCAGAGCTGTGCCCGAGATGCTCAGCCTGGCACCAGACTGCCCTTGCCTCACCCTGTGCCAGGGGCTGAGGCTTGTTGTGGGGTCATTCAGCCATGCCTGACTCTATGAGCCTGTTTGGTCTTTTCTTGGCAGAGATACTGAAGGGCTTTGCTACTTCCTTCTCCGGTTCATTTTACAGGTGAGGAAACTGAGGCAAACAGGGTGAAGTGACTTGTCCAGGGTCACACAGCTAGGAAGTGTCTCAGGTCAGATTTGAACCCGGGTCCTCCTGACTCCAGGGCCAGCACTCTCTCCACTCTCCTGCTTAGGAGCTGCTTAACAGTCTTATCAATATCTTGGCCCAAGACGTGGCTGGAACCAAGCTGGGGGGGCAAGGGAAGGCCCCAAAGGAAGGGCCTCAGCAGGACAGAACGTGCTGAAGTTCCAAGCCCTCTGGCCGGGAGGCTCTCAACCTCCCCGGGAAGTCGACGGGGGATGCTCACGCAGCTCCCAGGGCTGACCACTTCTTTGCAGCTGTGCAGCCTTCCCGTAGGCTCCTGCCTCCAGACCCTTCTCATAAACACGACCAGCTCTCAGGCAGGACCCGGGCCCTTGGCGGAGGCAGGGAAGATTATGTCCGGATATCTGCTGAATCTAATAACGAGAACCTGTCCCCTCCTCCAGGGCGTTGAGGTTTGCTGAGCACTGGCCTCCCTGTGCCCATGAGGTGAGGTGAGGGTGCCCAGCCCCTTCCCACTGGGCAAGGGCTCCCTAATCTGGAGACCCCATTTAGGAAGAAATTGGTAGCCTGCAGATTCTCTGGTCTCAACAGGAGAGATGCCTTAGATAACCCCCATCCCCGCCCTAGCCCTCTGGCCTGTTCTTTAGGGCAGAGAGGGGCCTGTGTGGGCTCTGGGGAACTGGGTATCAGCAATGGCCCCTGCTGGCCAGCAGAGGAGGCTAGCTCTCCACTCAGGCTGGTCCCGGTGGCAGGTGGACCCCTGAAACCTAGCCCAGGGACCTGGGAAGGCACTGAGCAGGAGCCAGCTAGCGCTGAGGTCAGAAGGGATGGAGGGAAGTTTTATTTTGGGCATCAGCTACCTCAGATGTGGGCACTCGGGGAGAGTGAGCAGGGAAGGACAGAGCCGGGAGGGACTGGACGATCTCAGCCACCCAGCCAGGTAACCAAGGCTGTGCGCTTTTGCTAACTGGTCCCGAGGGGACTGGCCGGGAAGCTCAGAGGGTTGCTCCCTTCTCTGCTGATGCCCGCTGGTGCCTAGAGGAGGAAGGGGTCCTGCCTTGTGGAGCGGGTGGGGAGGCCAAGGAGTTCACACTCCACTGGAGACAATTAACCTGGTCCCTGGGATCATGGGGTCAGGGGAGAGCTCAGTCTTGGCCAGAGTGCTCCGCCAGGCTTCCCAATGAGCCAGAGGCCGAGAGGGCAGGCAGGAGTGGGGGGTGGGAGCGTGGCTTCCAGGAGGAACCCCTTGTCCAGGTTAAGGCTGCCTGGTTGGGGCCTAGTGGGTACTTGCTCCATCCAGAGGCTAACCTCTTGCTTGTAGAGGGGTGGGTCCCCTGTCCTTCCATCCCCTCCCTATGCCAGTGCCCCTGTAGCACGACCCAGGCCCCCCCGGGCCTCAGAGGCCCTTACAGTAGAGCCGACCTGGGGCCGGGGGGAAGAGGCCTAAGCTCAGAGAGCTGACTCAGCTCAAGGCCTGGCTCTGCCAGGATCCTCTGGCTCTCTCTGCCCGAGGGCACTGCCAGCCTAGCCCGGACCTGGGATGCCCTGGGGAGGGGGAGGGGCAGCGGCCCTTCCATCGCCAAGGTGTGTGGCCTAGCCTCGCGCTTGCGGTCTTCAGTGGACTTCTCTGGGTGGATCCCGGCCCCTCCCCCTCCTCTGCACTAACAATACTTATCTATTCCTCTGGGGTTACAAAGCTGCTTTCCAAATCCCATTTGCTCCTCGACCCTGCGAAGTAGGTGCCACGACTATCCTCACTTGACAGGGAAACTGAGGCTGAAAAGTCTGACCAGTGGTATGACCGGCTAGTCAGTGTCTGAGGTTGGACTGAAGTCCAGCACTCTGTCCACCTCCCCACATCCAAGACGGCCAGGCTGACCCCAGGTAACCCCTTTTCCCATTCCCAGGAAGGACTGCTATGGGGCTGAGCTCTAGGGCTGGCAGTCACCTGGGAGGTCTCCTCATGGAAGAGGAGGATGTTGAGGCCACGGGAGAAGGAGAGACCAGTCTGCCTCTCTTCTAGCGTCTGCTCAGCCGTCCTCCCGCAGAGAGGCCCGTTAGATGCTGACCCCAGACAAAGCCACCAAAGGGCCAGGGCTTCTCACCAGGGCTAGTGCTTGGGAGGCTGTGCTAAGAGGCAGTGGGCCCACGCCTTAGGGGTCCACGTCCCTTCCAGCTATGCCGGCTAGTGACTGATGTGGATGGTTGTGCCAACTAACTGGGGGCTACAGACCCGTTTGTCCATCCCCGTAGGCTTGTAGTGTAGAGGTGCTGGCCACCATGTCTGGGGGCACATGCCACGATGTTTGGGGACATGTGCCACAGTGTGTAGGGGAACATGCCTCAGTGTTTGGGGGAGTGTGCCACGATGTGTGGAGGTACAGCCACAGTGTCTGGAGGCACATGCCACGGTGTTTGGGGGAGCACACTGGCTTCTCAGTCTCCTTGGGCTGAGACTGATTTGTTAACATTTTCATAGTCACTATATAGTAACCAACCCTGCCCAGAATTTAAAGTTGGTTGACAGTGGCATCAGGAACTCATTCACCTTGTCCCAGATGACCAGCTAGAACAGCAGAAGCCAGGCTCCTGCAGAGATTGGGGGCCGTAGTGGGATCAAGAACTCACCCGGGGCCAGCCCGGTTATAACCACCTCTGGTCCTTTATTAAGCACTTAAAAAATACCCAGAGATCCAGGACGCAGGACAGAGAGGGGCAAGCAGGAAGCAGGGAAGGGCTTGGACGGGGGATAGGAGCCCACAATACACCCAAACCTAGGGCCTCGTCTGGGTCAGCCAGAGAGGCTGCCGAGCCCACGGGCAGCTTTCTGAGCGCATGGAGCGCAAACCGTGGCTACCTTGGCCTTTCAGTGGGGAGGAGGACCCCCCCCTAAGAGGCAGGAAGGCAGTCCAGGACTTTAGACCTGGCCCTCTGCCACCCAGCTCGCTTCCTAGCCACAAGACAGAATCAGAGGTGCCAGAGGGAAGAGCAGAGAGAGTGGCAGGGGCAGAGACAGCGCAGTCAAGTAAAAAATGGATTTAAAAAATAGGATGGGGAAGAGTTCCTCGGGGAAGAGCTGGGGGAGGGGCCCCCGGGACATTCTATAGCAGAAGAGCCACAGGCAAGGGGACTGGGGGGCTCCCCTTCAGAGTAGAAGCAGCGTCTGTCCAGGACGAAGGCATCTGGGGTCTGAGGTCCAGCTGAAAGACAGAAGAGGAGAGGGCAGGGGTCCCCATGACTCTCTTAGACCTTGGAGGCCTGACAAGCCCAGGATGTTCTGGGCAGAGGGCGGTGGACACCCTACTTGGTCCCCCTAAATAGCCCACATTCGGTGCCTCTCTCCAGAATTAAGGGGAGAACGGACGGTCTGTCCCAGGTATGACCTCGTCCCGAGGCTTCTCCCCTCACTCTGAATCCTCACAGCCCCACGTGGAGGAGGTGCAGGGTTATTATTAACCCCATTGCGCCAATGGGAAAATTGAGGCCCAGAACAAGTCCGAGGTCACCTGCCTGAAATTTGGCAATGTGTCCTGGACGAGATTGCTGCTAGGCCTTAGTCAGAGGGTAGGGCACCAAAGAGGCCCAGCACTGATTCTCTGGGCACCTGGGGGCTTAATCGGGTCAGACCCCACCCAAAGCAAACTGCCTGGACGTGTCAAGTGATGGCACCCTGGCCCTCAGCCTGAGCATGGCCTGATGGCCCTTCTGCAGCAGGAACCATGGGCTGGGGTCCTCGGAGGCTGGCTCACGTGTCCTCGTCTCCAGCCGAGGGCCAGGTGCCTTGGGCTGGGAGCACCCACCTGGGCCGAGGCTTCCTCTGGCCCAGGTCCGGCTGTAACTGCCCCTCCCCGCCCAGGAAAACCACCAGAGGCCAGGAGAGGGCCTTGATCCCTCAGCGCCTGGTGCTGGCAGAGCTACAGAAATGGTCGACCTGAGCTGCTCCCCTTGAGTCAGCTAGAAATGCCCAGAAGGGGAGGGAGAACTTAGATTAGGTAGAGGAACCATGGGAGGCTGACCTTCCCAAGGGGAGCCCCAGAAGCTGGTGGGGCTGAGGTTTCCCAAGCATCCACTGGGGTCGCCAGCACCCCGGCCTTCCCTCTTCTGCCTCAGTAGACACTCCAAGCCCCGGGCCAGGACACCTTGCTCCTCGTGGCCCCCTCCCCAGGTCCTGGGGGCCATTGGCCATCACCAGACCCAGCCTTTCTCTCTACCCATCCAGGCCCTTGTCCTGGGGGACTTCGACGTACACACTGATGTCCCCTCCATCACTGGCTGGCCACCCACCTCCTCCACGCTCAGCCCTCACCCGTAACTGTCCAGAATCCTGTACTCCTCTGTGACCGTACCCTCCCATGCTACCACCTCCCCCCGGGCTCCTAACCCTCGGCCTCCTCTCAGTGCCCAATCCCTTCACGGCTCAGTGGTCGGACGTCACCATCCCGACTTCCCTTCCTTCACAGTCAGCTCGCTGCGGCTATTAGTACACGCAAACACCATCAGGTCCCCTGGCATCCCCAGCAGCCCCCACCATCCACCCTCTCCCGTCCCTCGGGGCTGTGGGCTCAGAGGCCTGGCACTTCCCAGGGACCTCACCGAACTACTTCCTCGCAGGGGACAGAAATGCTCATCACCGGCCCGATGCCCCACGAACCAGGAAGCCCCTGTCCTCCGGCTCTGCCCCCACCCCTCCTGCCCAAGCCGGCCAAGGACAACCTACGGCTTCAGAAACTCCTCCGGAAGGCAGCTAAGAAGAAGGCCAGCGTGACCTCTCTCCAGGCCGGCTCCTTCCGGGCCTCTCTGTCCCCGGTGAGCGAGGCCAGCCGTGACCAGGAGGCTGTGCCCCAGCCTTGTCCGGAGACCCCCGGGGCCGCGGCCCCACCCCCACTGGCCCTGCCGATCCCGCCAAGCCCCCCGGCTCTCCCCAGCCCCCCTCGGATCCTGGTGCCAGCGGCCCGCTCACCCTACAAGCCCGTTATCCGGCACGTGCCCTCCCCCGTGCAGAAGAAGTCCTTCTCCATCTTCAATGTGACCGAGCAGAGGAGCCTGGCGGAGCACTTGAGGATCACCGCTTCCCACTTGGGAGCCCCAGGCCCAGACGCCCCTGAGCCCCCGGGCGGCTCTGTTCCCCTCTCGGCCCCAAGGGAAGTGACCCACATCAGCCGGGCACACATTCACGTGCAGCAGGTGCTGTCGCCTCGATCTTGGGCCCCTGCAGCCAACCTCGCCCCGGGCAACGGGGCGAACGGGAAGCAGGACCCGACCGGGACAGAACCCCGAGAATGGCCTGGGGACCCGGAGCAGGGGGAGACCGCTCATCAGCCCTCACTCACACCCCAGATCCCAGTGGCTCACATTCAACCTCTGACCCCCAATGCCCAGGCAGCAAGCCCCTGCCCAGAACCACCTTCAGCCACCAGGCTCTCCCCCGGCGTGGAGGCTGCAGCTCCCAAGCAGGTCGCCACTAAGACTGTGGTCCCCATCGCCCCGACTTACAGGTCTCCAGGGCCATCCCAGCACAGTCCCCTCCCCCGAACCCCCTCAGCAAAAGCCGAGCCACCCCCTGTGCCCCCCAAGCCCACCACTGCATTCCCCAAGATTGCTGCTGCTTCTGACCCCAACCAGCAACTTCCAGGACCCTTCAGCCCCCCCAGGGTCTCCTCCCCAGAGCCCCCAAGGGACGTTCTGGTCTCATTGGCGCTGAGCCCTGCCCCAGGCGGAGGAGTGCCCAAAGCAGCCCCAACCCCCATTCCGAGAACCCGCTTCAGCGGCTGGATGAGACTGAAGAAGCAACTGATCGTGGCCCCTGATGCGCCACCCTTCCCGGAGCCCGAGGGTGCCGAGGTGCAGCCAGAACAGGCCGACCAGAGGCCCCGGGGGCCTGCTGCTAGCCCCGCAGCCCCGCGGCCCCCAGTGTCTCGCGCCACCAGGATGTGGGATGCAGTCCTCTATCGCATGTCTGTGGCCAAGGGTGGCAATCGGCGGGAGAACACCGAGGAAGGAGCCAGGGTGCCACCAGGAGGGCCCCTGGGGCGTGGCAGCTTCTTACCCTTCTTGTACCGCCCCCGCTTTGACGCCAGGAAACTCCGGGAGATGGCCACCCAGCCCCCTGCCAAGGTCAACACTGTCCCGGGGGTGAGCATGAGGCCCAGCCTGGCACCTAAGAACTTTAATCGGACCGCAGCCTGCTGGCAGCTCAAATGAGTCCGGCCTCCTCGGTTACGCCCCCAGCCCCTGGGCCCACCTGGGCTGGGTGGGGTGGGGTGGGGGCCTCCCCTCGGCCAGGCCTGGGTCCACCCCCACGCGCCTCCGCTCGTATGCACAGAAACCTCCCTCCGTGGGGCCAGGAATCAGGGCCAGTCAGACACGACGCATCTCCGAGGGACGGCACCTTGCGAGGCTCCCAGAAACCCCTCCCTCTATCCACTAGCTCAGGAACCTACGGTGAGCTCCTCCTGCTCTGTGGGCATCCTCACTCCACCCCGTACAAGATAACATGAGGGAACTGGACTGGACAGTCTCAGGGCTCCCTTCCCAGTCAAGGGGCCGAAGGCTGGAAGCAGCGGGGACCCAGGGGGCACTCCCGAGCCCTCGGCCATCCCCCATCCAGGAGTCAAGCCTGGGCCCTCTCTCCTGGCCACTACCCTAGAAGTCACGTCAAGGTCCAGCCTCCCCCCAGAAACCCTGGGCCTCCCGACCCCCAGGAGACCATCTCTGCCAGCCCCTAGGGGCCCAGGCCCATCCCCGGCTCCCTGCCGGTCCAGCCTCCCCCCACGTCCCCCTGCCGCAGTGAGGATGGAGTCTACCAGAGCAGCTGAGGCCTGACGCTGCCAGGCCAGGTTCCCAGAGCATTCGAGACACTGAGGGAGATGGCTGTCCGATGCTCCCCCTAGCGCTGGGGGCAGCTCAAGCAGCTCCCCAGGCTTGGCCAGCTGGGAGGTCCTCAGCCTCCTCAGTGTCACCCGCGCCCCCAGGGACCTCAGGCTGCTCCTCAGCCTGGATTCTCAGCCTGTGCTACAGTCTTTGGGGGAAGGAAACTAGAGGCAAAGTGAGGATGAGCCAGGGGGCTGGCAGCCTGGAGGTGAGGCCAGGGGAGGGAGGCCCGGTGCCAGCCGCTGGGGCGACCCCCTCACGGAAACTGCCGAGGGCAGCCCAGGCGGCGGCACCTGCCTCAGAGAGCCTGAGTCTTGAGAAAGGGGAGCCCTGGGACTTCCTGCTGGACAAGGAAGGAGTTGGTTAATCGGAGGTCAAGAGGGGCCCAGACAGGAGTGGTGAGTGACCGGGCACAGTCAGGAGAGCATCGCTTCAGGGCAAGGCTGTGGACAGAGCCCAGAGGACAGGCCTGCCAGTAAAACAGGACAAGCCAGGGCTGGGTCTGAAGCAGGGCTGGAGGGCACCTGGTGAAGGGTGGAAGGTCAGAGGAAAGATGAGCTAGTGTGGGCTGGAGGCATCAGGAAAAACTGGAGGTGAGAGAAGGTGAGAAGGGAATGAGAAGAGGCACAGAGGTAGGTGGAAGGCAGGGAGCAGAGAGGAGACTGGCCAGGCTGGGAAGGAGGGTGTTGGTGGGGCTGCGGGGGGCATCTGCAGACCCTGAAAGAGCGGTCCCCAGGAGCCCCTGAGGGCCAGAGCAGTACCGAGGCAGGGGGCTGAGCGGAAGACCGCAGTGTCCTTTCCGGTGCTAATGTGGGTGGGTCTAGGGCAGGCCATGGACTCAGGAGGCATGAGGCTGAATCCCAACTCCTGATGGGTCCCAAGAGGCCACAGGTCCCTCACTCTGCAGGCAGAGGGCCAGCCTGAGCCTCCCGGAGCCCCCTTCCCTGCTGACAGTGCCATCAGCTTCTGCTGAGCATGGGGCTGGACCCCCAGGGAAACCTGGCGGAGAGGAGGGTGGTGTCTAGGTGCTTTGCTGGGCAGAGATGGGGGCAGCAGCTTATGCCTCCCCACAGTCCTGGCAGGAGGCGGAATAACAAAGGTGAACCCTAATCTACAGACAGGGAAACTGAGGCTCAGAGAGGGACAGGGCCTTGTACAGGGGGCGCGCTAAGGTCGCTCTGACTCCCAGCAAGCAATGGAGGAGTGCTGAGCGACTGCAGGGGTCCACTGTGGGCTCCAGGACACCTGAGTCCTTCCAGTTCAGGAGGATAGAGGGGGTTGGGTGGAACGGACAAGCCGATGACTCCGGGGAGGCCCCGGGCTGTGCCAGTGACGCAGGTCCCAGCAATTCAGGGGCTCCCAGCACGGCAGTCACAGAACCAGAAACTGGCCAGGCCAGCAGGAGGAAGGGGCCCTTCAGCGGCCCCATGGCCCCCCATCCACCCCCTCAGCCCCTCAGCCACTCCAGGAAGGGCCTGCCAGTAGAAGAGGAGAGAAGATGGCTGGGGACGGGGGGAGGGAGTGCTGGAAGGGCTGGGAGCCAGGCCAGAGTGGACACTGGACACCCAGGCTTGGCTGGCCCTATTTCCAAGTCTCTGCAAAGCTCCCCTCCCCCAGGGCCCTCAAGGTGACAGAAGGGAGATGGAGGAGGAGGGGCCCTCTGGTAGGGGCCAGGAAATGAGGCAGCCAGGCTATTCCCCAGAAGCCAGGGCTCAGGTCCCCCCCCGCCATCTCCCCAGTGAACCCACAGGGCAAGCCAAGCCCTTCTGAGGTGCCAGGGATGCCAGGGGAGCGAAGAGAAGGCCTGCCCTCCAAGGACCCAAGTGGACCCAGCAGAGTGGCCCTGAGGGCCCCCAGGAGTCCAGGAGAAGCCATGGGACCCATGACCCATGAGGTGGGGGGAAGGACCCCAAAGAGCTGCCCACCCTTGGAAATGAGCCAAGGGTCCATATGAAAGATGAGGACAGGAGCTAGGCCATGCTCCCACACCCCAGGAGCCTAGAACGTGGGCAGAGGGGACTCAGGCAAGCCCCAGGCCTTCCTGCTCCCCACCCTGGGAAGGGGGGAACCAGGATTCATATCCTGCGCATTCTGTGATGGGCACCACGCCAAGTGCTTTGCCAATATGTTTAATCCTCACAACTACACTGTGGAGCCAAGGACACGGGCAGAACACAGTTAAGTCATCTGTCCCGGGTTAAGGAGAGAGTGAATGTCTGGGGCTGGATTTGAATTCAGCTCTCCCTGACTCCCGGTCCAGCACCCACCCGCTGCCCCCAACTGCCTCTTGGGCAGGGGTGGGGGGGCGGGGCGGGGTCCTCAGGCACGTGATGGGAGGCCCAGGAGGGATCCCAGAACTAAGCTGAGGCTAGGGATGGCAGGAAGAGACAGGGACACAGAGAGGGTCACACAGCAGGGGAAAGCCCAGACGCCCGGCTCCGGCATCAGACCAGGAGCCCAAATGGGGCAAGAGAGGATTTGGGGGCTCGGCCGGGGAGGCTGGGAGACTGGGAAAGCCCCTGCCCCATGAGGATGGAGGCTTAGGGAGGATGAGCCAGGGCTGGGGTGGGGCTGGGGGTGGGAGAGGGGGTGTGGGCAAGCAAACAGGCCCTGCCTGGGGTGAGGGGAGGCCAGGGCGAGAACCGGGAATAAATGTTTATGGCTAAGCAGTTAGCTTCTTCTCACACTGGACTGTGCGTGTGTGTGGTGTGTGTGCGTATGCTGTGTGCATGTGTGCATGCATGTGTGCGTGTGCACGTGTGTGCGTTGTGTGCACGTGCATGTGTGTGTACACACATGAATCAGGGGGGCACTTACAGCACCCCCTCCCAGAACGCCATGCCCCCAGGTCATCCCCACCAGCTGGTGCTGGGATTCTGGACACATTTGATGGGGGGTAAAGCTTCCCACCACTGCTTGAGGTCTGGGGCCAGAGATCTGAACTGGATAATGAGGGGAGCCCCTAGAATCCGGGTCAAAATTCGAAAGGAGGGCAAGACACCACTGGGGGGAGGCGCCTCCCAAGTGGGGGGGGCGATGCCATTGCAGGGGAGTGCGATGCATCCCACCCGCACATTCGAGAAACTTGGTGCCACGCTGCCCTCTTCCCTCCTCTAGCCCTGCCCCTACCCCACCCTGTCCTGGCACCCCCACTGCCAAGATCGCCAACGGTCTGCCTCTCTCCACCGCCCCTCACACCCTCTGCCCACACACTCACTGAGCCACGTTCCTCCTCCTTGGCTTGGCATTCGTGGCCCTCTCTACCTTCTCTCCTGCCCCAGGGAGGGTCCGCCTGCCCCAAGAGCCCTTTTCCCTCCATGCTTCTGTGCCTGACGTGGCCAAGCTCCCTGCTCCTGGATGGCCGAGCTCCTGCCGGCCCATCCTTGAGGGTCCAATTCAAACAGTGCCTCCTTCCCCTGGGGCGCTGCAGGGCGCTTCACCCCTCTCTGAGGCAATTCTGAGAGTCACTGGGCTCTTCCCACCTCCCTATGGAGGCCTATACAGTCAGCAGGGTCCGCTGACCTTCCACTGGTCCTGCCCACCTGGGGGGTCCCTGACCACTGGGCCATCTTCTGCTGCCCGCCAAGGGAGCCAGGAATGCTGACATCTGGATGGTCAATCACTGGGAACTGGACCCTGCCAGAGCCCTACCGGCTTCTGAGTGAGGGGTCAGTGAGTAGCCCCTGCCGACTGGCCTCTCCCTGTGCCCTGGCCTCCCCATGCCAGGGCTGCTCGCTCCCTGTGCCACGGCCTCCTCATGCCACGGCCTCCCTCTCTCCACACCACGGCCTCCCCGTGCCAGGGTTGCTCGC